CAAAGTAATCTTGTCTGTTGCAAAGCTAGTCTCTGTCTGTAGAGGGAAGAATAAATGTGGGACATGACACCACTGTGGTCACTTTGGCTTCTAAACAGTTTTACCACAGTGTCTGCTATGAAGCATACAACCATAATGAATCTAGGGAACACTGGTCCTAAAAGAGACAATTCACTCTTGCAGAAGCTATTTATCTTATGTAAGTAGCACAAGATCCATTTTCCAGGACAAATCTCCTCTTGCAGAGCTAGGGACCATCCACTGAGGAAGAAACAATTTTGCTTTCCATGACCCATTTCCCTAGCAGGACCCATTTCTTGGTCAGGCCTCATCTCCTGACAATCAAGACCCATTCTTCACAGCCCTTACATTAAAGCAGGGCCCATCTTATAAGATATGGTAGCCAGGAACCTCAGAGTTGTCAAAATAGCTTAAAATAATTATTTGAGAAAATAAATATTTGAAAATATGGCCCAGTATGGTCAATATTTCAGGTTACGTTTTTATTTTAAAACAGTGCCCAAGGGCCCAAATATTTTTTTACAGGATTTTCATAAAGTAAGGAGGGAATTCTAGATCCAACCCAGCAACCCCTTACATATTCATCCCATATAAATTGACCCATGGTTACCATCTGAAATGTGGAGTATCAGTTGCAAAGGAGACTGTCCAGAGAGATCTCCATTCCAACTATCTGCAACACATTAGCAGACATAAGGCACACTGCTTACTGACTGATGGACTGTTAGAGATACATCCATTAATCTTCCATTCATCATAGCTGCATCTGGGTGTCACATATGGTTCTCTGACTTTGAAGTGCTGTCTTGACCAATGATCAGGTACACAAGAAGCCCATTAATCCTGGGGGAATCCCACATGGGATATCCCTACCATTTAAGATATATTACTCACATAAAAGGTCCATCCACCCTGGATGTTCACCAGGTCTTAAAAAGTAATACATGCATGGACCTTCAATACATGATGGACTGTTAAAACCAACTTTTGGCTCAACTAGAGATTTAAAGGCCCTGTAAGATTAGGAAAAATTTAGTCCCACAACCTCCCTAGCCAATATTGTATATCCCTTTAAATGGGGTTTGACATTTTGCTTATGTTACCCTTTGTCCTCTTTAATACAAAAACACATCATGAACAAATAAAGTTTCAACTTAAAGATCACCTTAGGAAATGGGGTCATCCCTAAGATTAATTCATATGCTGGAATTTAGTCAAAACCAACATCCTCAATGGATCAATTAGGACTGGTTGATATTCTCACCACAAATAGGAATGTCTGAGTGATTGAATGAATCTAACCACATCTAACCCACATTGACAATAGCTGATCAGTGAAAAGAGAAAATGGGTTCAATCATTTTTTAAGTGTGTCAACATTTCAATAGAAGTGTAGGACATATCCTGGAGGTTTGAGTGATATATTTCATAAACTTGATTTTAAAGGTAGGAATGTTATTGTGTTTATATTTAAAGGAAGCCAATGAAAAAATGTTTTATTTTTTCAAATACATGCTCAGCATTATGATTTATACTATTTGTAATTACAGTCATTAACTAAGGATTAGAGTATTATTTTTCTCAATTTTTCTAAATATATAGAGCCAAAGGCTTTCAAGGGAAAGCCTGTGAAAGAGGCTTGAGATGGTCCCTGGGGGTAACTGAAACATTAGGCAGCTCATAAAGTAAGGCTCTACAATGGGACTTTAGAGAACTGGTAGGAGTACAAGTTTGACCAGAGGCTGATTTCTAAACAATTTAGCAAGCTAGGGTATAACAGGTAACACAGCAGATGACAGGAGGAACTGATGCAGTAACTTGCAGAAAAGCAAATTTTCAACATGTTCAGTTTTGAAAACACAATCTATTGAGGATTTAGAAAATAACTTAACATATAACAGAATGTATACCAAGACTGAGACCTGAAGGAATTATCATTTTGCGGAGTTTGTAGGATTATAAGTGGTAATTGCTTATTATAACTGATAACTATATAGTCAGCAGTTTGATTAAGGTAGGACTTGAATGGTAACTTTTATAGTTATTTTTAAGTGCTGTCATATTGCAACCACTGGGATGCAATCTACATGTATTTCGAGGCAATTTTGAAGTTATATGATTATGTAAAACATACTTGCATATGATTTTTACATTTTCCTTTCTATATGTAAAAGATCCTGATTAAATCAATGAGAAATATTCAATGTACAGATGAAGCTACCTCAAAACATTTTTATTCTTGGGACCCCCCCCTCCCTTGATCAGGAAGATAAACTAGAAAAAGCTAGGCTGTAATATTAACACTGTCCAGATAACCAATTAACATCTAATGAAGAATCTTCAGTTGAGGGTGATATAGAATCTAAGATAATCTACCCAAAGATTAATTAATTAACAGTGAATTTAGTGGAACCCTGCTGGTCTCATGCAACAGCTTGAGGTTGCTATTTTGGACCATCATCATACATTATACACACTTCTACTGTAGAAATGGCAATATTCACTGGGTTTTTAATTTCATTATTTTCACTGAAAATAATTTTCAGTGAGTATCAAGACCCAGTGAAATACTTTATCAACATTAATGGCTAATGGCAGGAAAACTCTATTCAGGGAAATAAAATCCCAATTTTTGCCAATCTTCATACAGTGAAATTTAACAGTGTCAAATTATAATCATTTACAGTACACAGTTGGTGTTGGGTAACTTTTGCAGTGGCAGGATGGAACTGTTTATTTTGACATCTAACATGTCTAATAGGAAATTGTGAACATGGATATTTGATAGATATTTGGAATTAGTGAATGTAGATAGGAAATATTTCATCAAGGTTGGTATTTGCATGATTTGTCTAAATCAAAAATGCCGAATTAATACTAATTCTTAGTTGAAATTCAGGATAATCATGATTATACTGTACTATTAAATTACTACTCTTTCTCAGAGTATAATTTGCACATACTCTTAAAATCAAATATAATTCTTTGGTGTAGCTTATATTCAATCAGAATATGTATTGAAACTTACTGAATATGGGTACTTTAATTGATTGGTATTTATATAAATGTATTTACAGCACTTACTCTCTCTTAGAGTGTAACTTTGCATTCACACTTTAAATCAGAGATGATTCTTCTATTATCTATGCCATCAAAACCTACACAAAATGATTTGTTATTGTGAGAGGGTAGAGTACCTGGATAGCTGGTGAAGTTTCAGGGTAAAAAATCAGTTTTCTGACCATTTCTAACAAATCAGTTTTTGTCAAACAGGTGTAGCATATTCTACAGCTATATGGTACTCAGCTTATCTTAACAACAGTTCCACAAACAAAATATTTAAGACAAAAAGTTGAGATAAAAGGGTTGGATGTGTAAACAACACAAAGTGGATGGCCTTGGATGGGATTTGAAGTGTGGTCCATGTCTGTATTGATGGAAACAGTCTTTCTACTTGCAATATAACTTGTGGAACTCACTTTATGATGCAGATCTCACAGTGATTTTTAAAGTTTAGTTTGGGGCAGTTTTAACTTTGAGGATTATCTTTATGTGATGTAACATATGGAATTAACTAATCTAAATAAATAACCTGATTTTAGTCTTATAGATCTACATTCAAATGTTTTCTCATTTTTTCTGCAGTATTTGGATGAAAGTATTTCTGGTATGATCAATTAAGTCAAGTCATGATCCTGCACTCTTTCTGATCTCAAATGGATCTTTAATGGCTTTTTGAATTTGAATCTGAATATGAAATGAATGCCAGCGACTATCCCAAATTTTCAGAGTATAGTCTTCTGAAGGGTAAATTAATGTATATTTCATGATACAGCCTATAATGACAGCTTTATATATTGAGAAACACTTCTTAAGTTTCTGAAACACTTCTAAAATTTAGTGTTAGCCTCTTTTCCACAAGATAATCTCGACAGAAATAACTCAGTGTAATCCATGTAGAAGCTCTCTGGAATCAAGTTGATGCAATATTATGGTACCTGATACCAGAAATGATGTGTATCTGCTGTGATGAGAATATGCTTCATCAGTCTGTAATAGTCTAGAGCATTCAACTAGGTGAGTGTAATCCAGGTACAGTCTGCCAGAATTCAATAGTCTGAAATTGGGATTTAGCTGAAGGAATACTTGGAGAGATTTAAATTCCAGGGCAATACCAAATCTAAAATGGAATTTAGAGGAATAAGCTAATCAGGAGAGGAATTCTAAACAATAACTTATTTTAGATGGTATGAGTTTTCATTTTTGTCTATGCTATTTGCATTTTTTATGTAGCTCACTGTGATAATGGATAAATGGAACAGAGTTAGGATATGTTATCAGACACTGAATCTTTTTCAAATTATCTTCTGTAAGTCATAAGCATCTCGGAAAAACATGAGAAATATTAATAGGAATAATGCACTTAAGTTTTGTTGAATCTAATTACACGAGTTGAATAATACATCATCTGCATAATTAGAACATTTGTATGAGAACATATTTATGTTATGTCTCCTTGATTAAAACACAGGAGCACAACTGGTACTATACATAGAGCTAGATTCTCAGTTATTTTCTTGCATACTTATCTCACCATGACTAAAAACTTTGTCTGCATGTTGTAAAATATAATTCCTTTTTAAAATAACATTGTGGTGTGCTGGCCAATGTAATGCCACTATAATATTCATATTGACCTGTATAGACATAATCATAGGTTATTGTGCGAAAAGTATTCATAATTATCATCATTATGAAATAAATAATTAATGATATTGTTTTATTGTATGTCAAGTAAAAGTCAATATATTACTATAGGCTTTATCATTCTCATCTACATGTGCAACCGATGTGGTTGAAATGATCAATTGTTAAAAGCAATCATTATTACTATTTAAAGGTCAGATTTTCAACAAAACAAACAGTTGAATCAGTTATTGCAAACATTTAGAAAATTAATATTTGTCTTGTATTTTCAGTTAGAGTCATGATGATACATAACTGATGTCACAATGATCTGATGTCACAATAACAATTGATGTCATGATGTTATCACAGGGCGACAATTGTGTGATTTTTGTGGAAAATGCTTGGAAGAAGGACCTATGTAGAAACTGTCTACGTCCCAAGATAGAACACAATGTTGGGAGCACAGCATCTTTATTGAGAAAACCTCCCAAATCACAAACTAGCATCGATGAAAAACTTACACATGGTAAAAGGAAGGAGCCAAATGTTACTAGAAAAGTTCTCGGGTCCTCTAGTTTAAGCCAATCAAGTTTCACATCAAAGCCAACAACAACAAAACAGGCTAAAAGTGCACTGAAAAGATCTAATGCAGGGCAAAATAAATCACTAAATGTTGGATTCAGCAAAAGTGAGGATTTAATTGGGACAAATGGTGGGATACTCTATAGCAGTGAAGATGATGACATTGAAAACAATAATAATGCCAACAGCGACGACTCAAATGATGAACCTATGTCATCAGAGGAGCGAGAAATGGCAAAATTAACTTTCGAAAACACAAACTGGAATTCTGATCCTCATAACCTCAAAGTGAAGACAAATGGAAACATCATCAAGCGTGAGGTGATTCAACCTGCAAAAGATCCTGCTTTACACACAAGAAAATCGCCACCACCTCAAGCTTCTCAAACTTTCAACAGAATAACAAATATTAACATCAAAGAAGACACTGACAATGCTCCTCCAAGACTCAGAGTATCTGAGCATGAATATTCTGAAATCGCTGAAATTCAACGAACAAGTGCGGAGATTTCGAGAAAGTTTAACGATCATGATTATAGTTCATTATCCAGCAGGGAGGGCACCCCTGAGAGATCTCAGGGAGCATACTATAATGAAAAACCTGTTCCCTCAGGTCATACATATTCTGAGGTACTCTACAACAAAGCTGCAGCGAGCCTTGACTCTGATAGTATCGCATCTTCAATGTCAATTTCAAGCAATAAAGGGTCATCAGAAAACAGTGGAGACAATGCCTCAAAAACTGACATCTCGTCAGATAGAGGAACCCCAACTAAAGATGATAACGACTTTCCAGATGCTACACCATATAAAGTTGTAGATATTGAATTGAAAGACAGTAATCCAGTTCCTTACACTGTGGTTGATGTATCATCTATTGATGCAGCACCAATTCAGAATGAGGCTCCTAAAGTGCCAGAATTGCCCCCGCCAAATGATGAGAAGAAAAAGAAGAAAGGATCATTCCTCTTCAGACACTTTAAAAAATCAGATAAACAAAATGTGGAATTGAAATCAAAGATCACTATAGATGCAGATAACACGGATACTTATCAAAAGTCAAACAGTCCAACAAAACCAGGCGAATCCTTCAGGAAACTCAATAATGACTTTACAACAAATTTTACACCACAGTCATCTTTCCTGCATAATAATGTAGCAGCCAGGAATGCAATTAACTCTGACAAATCAAAACTGACTTTGGATAATCCAAATGAGCAATCTGACATCAAGCCATTGCAACCTGATTTTAAAATAACAAAACAAATAAATATTGCCCCTGACCCATCTAAATGTCCGGCTACAACTGGTATACGTGAAAGCACTGGATCACATGCATATGAACCTATTGATGAACCAACAATATCAAAAGCAATATCCAACCCACCCCTAAAAGCTGAAAACCCAAAAGTTGAACCAGATGATAAGCTTAATGCTGACAACCAGAAACCCAAAGAGGGCACAAATAATCCAGAGAAGCGTACAAGTACTGGAGTCAAACAAACAATTCCAAAAGAGTTCCAGGAAAAGATCTTAAGTATTGCTAATAATGTTGACTTTAAAACAGGGAAAGCGAGACCCCTGAGACCTGCCCCACCACCTCCTCCTCCACCAACACAATCCCAACAACCCCCACAGTCCCCACCTGTTTCAGACATGCACGTTGTCAATGTACCTGAGGGTAAACTTGGATCTCCTTCTAACAAGAAAAAGTTTGGAGTGAAAACCACAGAAATTCAAGATCCAGTCCCTGGAAATTCTAAGAAAACCAAAAAGTCTGGGAAGTCATTTTTTAAGAAGTTCTTAAGAAAGGGAAGTAACCTGGAGCCGAGTAGTTACAACTTTGGTAATTCTGGTTCAAGTGATATTCCTGGCAATACTATTGTGACAGATAGTGACAATTCTGGTGGTTCTACCGACGATGAAATGGAACACGAAGCAATCCCGGAATGCACCAGTGACCAACAGGGTGGGGATGTTCAACTTATCAAATCAAAATTCATTTCAACTTTCGCGACAAAAAACGACAATCTTTGTAATCCCAATAAAGATAAGTTGACCAAAGTAACACTAAAATCTACTGATTCTATATGTGAATCTTCCACTGATACTGTGCATAAGCCTACTCTCAAAAAGAGTGCCTCCTACTCAATGGGAACTTTCGATGATAAAATATTAACAGACACGGAGGGTGAGCCCAGAAGAAAGAACAGTGTTCAAGACAGGATTAATAGATACCGTGAAGCCACCTCCCAGGAGAGTACCCCAGAGAAGCCTATCAATAACACCAGGAGACCACGGAGGACCCCATCTATGAAATCACCTCCCCCATCCCCTCCTGTGAAAAAAAATCCAAACATTATTCCAAGAAAACAATCAGATTCAGAGACAGACACAGCCTCGTCATCTCTACTGTGTCATAGTAACCCAAAAAGTCCTAAGGGCAAAATCAAAACTAAACATATTGGCAAATTACGCCAGAACAGCTCTCCTGCACTGACTATCAGTGCCCCTATTCTTCATAGCAACCTAAAACGTGCAGCTTCAATTAATGAGAACACAGAAGCGACAGCATCTGCCTGTGCCCAACAGAGAAAGACCAGACCTGTTGTGTATAACAAAAAGAAGGCTGGATCTGACAATGAGGTGAAAAGGTCAAGGTCAGCAAGCGGTGGTCTGCCTGGTCCAAGATCTTTGAGATCACCCAGTCCTGTAAGACCCCCGCAACCTCTTTCTAGAGTGCGCTCAGTTACAGATGGACTAATCGGAGCTAGTTTCAAGCGACCAACACGGCCACCCCCTCCTAAACGAGAAGATCTAGTTGTGAGTATGACTTAAATATTCAAGCTTTTATATTGCCTTTCTCCTCTCAGGGTTAGCTGCATCTGTATTTTGATTTCTCCGATCTTGACATCATCTTGCTTAATTAGCTAATACTTTATGTTGTATTGCAATGGCATCTAAATATGTAGTTTGATCAATTCTTAAGGAATGAAATGGTTGATTTACCTGAAGAAGATGTAGACTAAATACATTGAAATATTGTAGATCAATCATTTGATTTGTACAATGTTATATCACAGTCTGACGATAAGAATGCCCAGATTTCAGGTACATTATGTCAGTTCTGAGTTTGTTTATGTTGAATCCTAGCAGCATTACATTGTGTTATGAATGCAGGAATTTTAGCCTCATCATACTTGATCATTACACACACCTTAATAACCCTTCATAACTTGTATTGGTTCAACAGTCATCAAGTTTAATCTGATTTCCCGTAATGATGAAGTGAAAGTTTGCATACTGAACAAAAAATCAAAAAAAGTCCATTTGGAAAATCAAATATAGACTAGACATGACACAAAAAGTAAAAGATAACATACCGAAAAAAGTGATTGTTCTTCAGTAATTTTCAAGTTTTTCGCTTTGGTTATTGCTCGTATATGATCATATGGGCAAAACCATTTGGAGATGTTAACGCTGAAATAATTCCAAAGTATGGTTTCTTAATTTAGGAGAGCAAGACTAAGGCAACATTCACTACATTGCACATGTTAATTTGATGCAAAATCCACATTATATCAAATAAGGTTTATTTGCACATTAAAGGTACTTACATTTTTGTTTCTATTTGTGCAACATCAGAGAACTGGCTTACTGGTAAGATTTTGTTGTACATTGGGTCACTGATACATACTCCATCTATTTAACACAAAACATTAGTTTAAAATCTTCACACAATTAAAATTCAAAACTAATGTTTCACTTCAAAAAAATTTCTCACAGAAAATGGTCAAGTGTTAATGCTTTAAAAAAAGATATATGATATTTGTATTTGTATTCTTCTAGCTAAAACATGGATTTTTTCTTGGCCCGCTTAATACTCTGGGGTAAGAATTAAGACAATCTATTGGACGAGGGCAATAGATACGATAGAAGGGTTGAGGGCAATAGGACTGAGGGCAATTATTACATATAACATATAATACATGCATAATTGCATGAACCTATTCCACTATACAGCACCACCACAGTCCCTCGCATCATAGCATGTTCTTATACCTTATATTTCAAGTTTGTTGCACCAAGCATTAACAGAAATTAGAAACTGACTAAAGTTTCAAAACTTTGATCAACAATTTATGAAGCTAAAAATTGTTAAGTGACGGAGAATCATCGGGCCTCTAAAATTGATTGTGTCTTTAGCCTTTTATCTTTCTGTATAATCTATAGGGATCTTCTCTGTGGTGGTGTGGTGTGAAATGGGTTCCAATATGCATGCTTAATATTTAAATACACATGTACATTAATGTGATTTCTTGATCATCTCAAATATTATTATTATATGTCTATAATGACCATATAACCTAATAAATTATAGTATGAAATAATAAATGAATTGAAATAAAAAAAAAGTGACTCAGGAATAGTTTAAAAGTCACATGTATTACAAATAAGATGTCCAGTTTTCAATGCAGCAGAAAAATTGCATGATTCAAAATTTCAGAATTCTTGGTCATAAAAAATCCACAATGGTTCAAAATTAAAAGGGAGCTTCCTAAAGCTTAATAATCTAGACATTTTCATTGTAACCATAGCAGTCACTCAATTTTAAAGTTTTGAAAGAAGGTAGAGAAAACTGCCATCTTTTAAACATAAATATGTCTAAATCACCATACATAACAGTTTTGAGCAATTCACTATCATTTTTGGTTATTGTGCAGAAAAAATATTCCTGAAAAAAGTACAATCCTTCACTTTCATCACTGATGTCTAACTATGAACCATTCACCTTGTCCCAAGTGTAACATATGCCAATGAAATTAAATGACAGTAAAAGACCAACAATATGCTACTAATTATGACATCTGCTAATGAGCGTTTGTCTCAGAATTACTTTACCAATTAAGTAATCAATTTACATAACTTGTTTTTCCATAACACACTTATAGACGGTAAATGCAATCATCGCATAACACGTCAGGTGATGAATTGAGTTATCTAAGGAATGTTAAACCCGATTTAATCAAACATATGTGAGCAAATCGTATCAAAGCATTCAAATGTCAAATGTGTGGACATGTTAGAATGAAAATATATATTACTTATAAAGTATATATACTTATTAAATATATGAGATAGCTCCTTTCACTTTATGCTGAATTCTTGATTTATACATGAACAATCCACAAACAGAATTTAGAAAATCGAGGGGCCAGCTCAAAATGTTCATACTTAATTTGACACATAAGCCATTTTGATTGATTCTGGCAATGCCACACCTTAAGTAGTCCTACTCTTTTAGCAAAACAGAAAACATGATCAAAAAATATCTAAAGAAAAAGATCTCTTCAATAATTGTGCACTTTTTATTAAAGTATACCATATATTTGATATCACATAATTTAGATTCATGATCAATCATATTATAATATTCTATGGCAGTACACCTAATACATAGTACATGCTACGACCCACTCAGATAATGTCTACTATGATGAAAATAGTAACAATGTTTTTAAAAACAATGTTAGATATTTGAAAAATATCTTTATTTCCTATGCCTAGTTGATAAGCTACCCCCCCCCCCCCCCTCTGCACACCTCACCTCAATGGTGGTGAACCAGATGGGAGGGGGTCCAGAGAATTGGTGTAATAGCCTACTTCTATACTTTATTTCAGGTTTTCACAGATGTAAATTAACATGTCAGCATGCACTGAAAAACTGAACACAGAATACACTGAATTTTTTCTCTGATCAGAAAATAGGAAAACTTTAAGTAGTCGCACTGCACAGTTCTTATCTTAAAAGGTATTTCCATTGTTATTCCAGTCACCAGTCAAGCAGGAGGCAGAGTGTGACATTGGTGAATGTGACAACAAAGAGATGAATGATAGGACTGACAACACTCATGTACATTTGGGTAAATATTGTATATAAGGGTTATGTACTGGGAGGTTTTGGATATGGGGTTTATCCAGAGGGGGATGTGCATATCTCACAAGGGATGAACCCAATATCCAAACCGACCATATATAACTTTTTTATCCTATACCAAGTAGAGTTTTCAGGGGCATATGGCCATTTCAATAGTACAAGGTGTAAAAATAAACAAATCATTCATATGCAAAGTCATTTTATTGCATTTGCACTACTTGCCGGAAGCGGGAAGATATGCGCCGAAGCGGGAGATATGGCAGGAGATATGGAGGTTCTGGATATGGAAACCTCAAAATCAGGATATGAGATATATCTTACCAACTTATCTCCCTAAAACTCTACTTGGCATAGGATAAATCAGCATATATAGCTCTATCTGGCTCAGCACACATATAAGCAAATGTAGTCTAATGAGAGGCTGAAATGCAAGGTTTTGACTTGCTGCTTGCTTTTCTTTTGTACATAAATTAATTGTCAAAAACAAGGCGAAGCATTTTGTAATAGATTACCATGGCCATCTTTATTTACAAATTATTTCTATCACCTTTAGTCTATGATTACAATCAGCATTGATGACTGAGTTTATTGCATGATGATTCTGGCATTGATAAAAATTAAGGGAAATTCATACTGATCATAACATTCATTATGATTAATTCAAACATGACCGTGCTCTATTCGAATTTCTCAACCAATCAGAATGCAGCATAGCCAATATAGAACGTTCTCTAATTCTCCATAGATGCACGACCATGCTCTATTCAATCTGCAATTTGCATTGTTTTGAGTGACGTCACATCTCAGTTGCACATCTGGGGCTCTGTCCGGGGATAGCTGTTCTTTTTTACTCCCTATTTATTTTTATTTTATCAACACCCCATGTTTGCATACACCGTATAAAATCTAAAACGGGGAGTAAAATAGAACAGCCCAAACAAATTCTAAAATTTTTCAGGCCGACTTCAGAATCTTGACAGCATGCGTATTCTTCCTTCATGCCCGTTCCACAGACATGGCTTTTACTAATTTTTATGTTTGAATCGGAATAAATAATGATAGGCCATTCAATATGGTAAGATTCAGCACTCGTTGGACAGAATGTTAGTACAAATGCACTCACCTTCGGTTCGTGCTTTGTACAACATTCTGTCCAACTCGTGCTGAATTTCACCATATTGAATGGCCTATCATTATTTATTCCTTAATTGAGTCACACTTGAACTGACTGTAACACTCAAAATGATAAGTCACATTTAAAAGGATTAAGTTACTTATACATGATTTAGTTTTTACTTACTTGGGTGGGGGTTCCTGAGTTGACATTTAACCAAGCTGCCCCAGACTTGTCAAATTGTTTAGAAATATAAGCAGTTCCAACTGAAATTATAAATAAACATGACACATACATTTTTGGCTATAATATGTCAATTATTTATTGATTTAGACTTCCAGATAAGAAAACAAAATTGTAATTTATATTTATATATTTTTCAGAGGGTGTGTGTCAAGATGATGTTGCCCCTATAGAGGATATTCCCAATTCACCCCCTCCCGTTCCCCCTCACTCTGATCTCCATGGCTATGAGCCTGTCACCCTCCCCGATGATCCAACTTTACAGAGCAACAACATTAACATCAACGAACCTCACAAATTGAAGATTCTCACAGGACATAGCACCGATAACATTTATGATATGATAAACGAATATGCCGTTACGGAAAATGGAAATATGTCCCAGAATTCCTCATCGACAAATTCACCTGCGTCTACATCTTCATCTCCTGATGAATACCTTGTACCTGTGAAATCGCCTCCAAGTGACCATAATGCTAATTGTAAAGTGACCCAACATAAAGACAGTGAAGACTCTGACAGTGATAATAATGAGGCTAACAACAATGTACCAACAGGACAAGAGACTGACAATGAACCTCGCCCAAAACCAGCTCCAAGGAGGTTGATTCCACGCACACGCAGCACCAGCGAGACATATATTCTCATGTATAATGGCACGCAGCATGAATACGATAACATACCAACAGAGAATGCACCCACTAACATTTCAGAAGGTTTCGAACGGATATCAGAACTCAACAGTAAAGCATTTCAAAGTATAACAGAGACAATTGAAATACCTGTTAGAAAGGAGAGTGTATATAAGAGACATTATGGACTTTCAGATTTTGTGATAAAGACAGAGGAAGGGGTATACATACATGATGATATTTCGCTGTTCCCTGCATCTCTCCAGAAGATACCGGACCGGAAATGTGTCCTTATGGTGAGTAGGCAATGGGGCAACATAGCAATCACTTCTATTCCTTCTGCTGAAATTCTAAAACCCTGATGTAGTCATGGTAGATCAATTCATATATTTAAATAAGCATTATTATGAAATCTTTACACAATTATGTGTTTTAATAACTTTATTTAACATTTTCAAAATTATTTATAGTATATACATGTAGGTGTTTATATATTTTAAATCTTTTACTTATGCTTTTTAAATTTCTCTCATCATTCCGTTGATGTACCTAATTACCTATTTTTGAAATGGTGTTTAAATTCTAAAATAGCATTGCCAAATCAGTTTAAGCCCCAGACCAAAGATCCAGCATGAATATGACGATAAATTATTTGCTTTCCAGATTTCAAAAAAGGTGTTGCCAGCAGATATCATCAGCTTCAGTCATTCTAATGTCGTCAATGTCCAAAATACCTTCATAGACAAGGCGCCATCTATATTACTCCACCCATCACTACAGGATACAAACCATGCTGGAGAACCGCTTAACATGCATGCTTCTTTGGGTATACTTATGTATGACTCTGTAGAGACTTTATCAGAATGTTTAGAGCTAACAAGACATGTTTATAAGGATAAGATTGATCTCCATGAGCGTAGTGCCTGTTTCATAATGTTACAAGTGTTACATAGTGTGCAGTACTTACATGAACGAGGCTACACATGTGACAGTTTCTCAACTAAGGACACCCTTGTGGCAATATCCCAAAACAATGAAAAACATGTGATAGTCTGCCCAGTTCTACGTAAGCAGATATCTGCTGACCAGGAGTGGCAGAACACAACAGATGGACTTGCTAATTTAGTTTCAGAACTCTGTGATGTTCAGTACACTGGAAAACGAACATCAAGAACCAGTGATCTTTATAGCTCAAGGACCCCTTATACACGAGGACTTTTCAAAGTATTGCAGTTATTATACCAGGGGTCTTCTGAGTGCCTCAAAAAATGCATGACAATTTTAGAGTTTATGCTATGGGGTCCTTGTGAAGAGGATATAAAAACGATGACCCTAGCAGAGGATCGAGTTCAAGCATTTCATGTTTGGCTTACTGTTGAGCAAACTCGTATCTTAAATGATACAACAATCAAACTACTGAATGGGACAGGGAAGTTAAGATTAGAGGAAATATTACAGACAAAATACTTGAACCAGTCCAATGGACAGAGCTTATTTCAAACAACAAGATTGTTATTCAAGTGATCCCAATACAAAGAAGATAGCAATAAAGTGGCCTTCCTGTCAACCTAGGCTGTGTGGGCTCACTGTTTGTTACTGTGTGAATACTTTGGGGTAGAGATTGAGACACTGTTTGGTTATATGGTTGGCAACAAAAATAGTTTGACAGCAAATCCCACATCAGACCAAATATAAAAATAGAGCTAAAAAAGTTGCCATGTGGTGGCAAATGGTGAGCCCACATGGCTATTGACAGCTATTTTAAGGGATGAACCTGAGAAATTGGTACTTTCAGAAAAGGTGGAAAATAACTTTTCTATAAAGGTTTATTGCATGGAGATACAATATATGTCAGTTCCTAATGACAATGCTGAATAAGTTTAATAATCTTAGATATTATCATATTAATACAGTAAACTGTTATCTGGACTTAACATACATACTACAGATACTGCATAGGTTATAATTAACCCTAGAAGCCCTAAGGTTGAAAAAGTCACAGGAAAGTACCCTAATGGGGTCAAAAGCCCCCCCCCACCACTTAAATCATAATAAATTAATTACCCCATGTACAACTCTCTCAGAACATGTGTGTTATATCTGTAGCTCCAGGTACTGGTGAGAATTTGAGGATCCTACATGATGCCTATATCAGGGGACCCCTCCCCCATAGGCCTTCTAGGGTTAATGTGCATTTCGTTCATCCCAGCTATCAAAGTGACATAAAATCATCAATGAATAAAATCATCAATGAATAAAATCATCAATGATGATCATTTCCATAATGAGAAGATGTAACTATAAGAAGTAAAATTGTAAAAATATATTTCAAATGTTTGCATCTGACACATACATTGTATTAGCACATAATTATTTAACAAAGTATGATAATATAAATGTTATTGCAATGTAAAATATGAGAGTGAACAGTAAATGCATTTAATACTATATGATGCTCAACCCAAATATTCTTCATCTGATATTCATATTACATGTACTTATCCATATACTATTTTTATGTAGCTTAATGTAAAATACATATTTAAAATGGAACCTATTAAATGAAAACGAATAAATACAATTTCAAATAAAAATGCCTATTTAATTGCTTGAATTTCAGGACATCATTGGAAATTCAGATAAATCAACGAATAAGTTGAATAAGTTTATATTAGCCAAATTGAGTTTACAAGTAAATTAAGAATTATTCACAAATTGGTAGATTTGATGCAATCTGAAGTCTTAGTCATTTATTCTTATCATCAGTGTTTTAGAATACGAGAACTACCAAACTCCAAAGGAAACTGTAACCGAGTAAGTAACTGAGTAACTTATTCAGATGCAATTACCCAGGTGCTAGATTATAAGATAGTTACCAGGTTCACTAATTCAGCTAATTCAGGTCAGATAGAATGGCAGACAATTATGGCAAACATAGAAAAAGTTCACAGTTTAATTTCAAATAGAGTTATAGGATCAGTTTTCATCTTACTTTGACTATAGATTTTGCATATTTGATTATGAAAATAAAGTTTAATATTACTTGCATAATTTATTTGATTTGGTGGATCTTCAGATTTTAGACATTTGGAAGCTTCATTTTGGAAGATTTAATGATTGCTTTCAATACTAGCTAACACATCAGATCAGATCAGATCAGATCCTTCCGTGATACCCAAACTTTAAGGCAACAAATATTTGCAATTGGTTTTGCCTTTTTTGTCTCTGCCAATTTATGATAGAGGTGATTTTAAACTCACCCAAGTAACACTAAGAATAAAGTTGCTTCCATATTCACTTCATGAAAATATATTCGTTCACATTATAACACACATTAACGTTTGTTTGCACCTTTTCTGACATGTCTTTTCAATTTAACATAGCAAGTTGTCCAACCATTTGGAATGTCTGACATGTTGATGCTACTTAGAATATCTTTCTTTTCATCAGTATTGTCATACCATTCAGTGGTGTCCATGTCTCTTTCCTCCATTGTGACATTGTCATCTTCATTATGCTTAATGTTATTGTTCTCTAATTTCACATTACCAGGTTCAATTTTAGTTGCATATTCATTTTCAAACACTGAGTCATGGTTCATATTTTCCTTGAGATCAAAAGAAGATTCAGCACCAAAATCCATTTCCTCATCGGGAATTTCAAGTTTGATAAAATCAGAATCATTGGTCAATTCTTTTTGAAGATTTCCTATATAATTCTGACTTTTAGTGAAAAACTCCACTTCTTGTTTAGTTGGAACTTCAATATTCACGAAACCTGCTCCATCTTTTACAGTGTCATTAATGTCAAAATGCTGCTTAAAACTATCACCTTCTTCTTTTTCACTAAGCTTCTCAGAGTTAGTGCATTTAGATTTTGCTATTTGTTGTCCTGTCTTACCAAATTCAGGGTTCAGAAGAACTTTGAACTCGCCATCAGGAAATGCTGCTCCAAGGTTTGGTGATTGAAAATTTTGATCATTCTGCTCATTTCCCAAATGTACTGTTGTATACTCATTCCTGTTAAGACTCCCTCTATCAATTATCTGGGCTCTGTATGTATTACCCATTTCATCAGTGAATGTTTGGGTTGCTTCAGTCGCACCATAGATGCTAGAATCATACTCTGGGTCGTATGGCTCATTTTTAATGATAAAACTGCCTGTGCCAAGGGATTCACTACCTATACTACACAGGTCATTACTTGCAGATGTACTTTGCATATTTGATATTTCAGATGTTTCACTTAATGCATCATCCTCGTTTGCATTTTTCTCAATTTCTACTTTTATGGACACTTCAGTTTTTAATGATGAATATTGTACTCCTGCAAATGGTACAGCTAATGGTTGCTCAGTTTTGAAGCCTTGTAATGTTGGTTTGTCTGAACCACCACACAAATATTCTTCAACTGTGTCAAGTCTTGGTTTAGTGTCATCTGAATAACACATATCTTGACTGGTGGTTGCCATGTCCTCTGTAGAGTCAGGCTCAAACTTGGCTGCATACAGAGAAGCTTCATCCTCAACATCTTCCATCTTAACGTCACCATAGCCTCTAGTAGCATTTGAGTCAGTGTCAGATATATCCCCACCCTTGTAACCTTTAGTCGCATTGGAATCTACATCAGATGCATCACTAGTCTCATTTAATTTCAGTCCAAAATCAGTGTAGGCCCCTGTTGATGTTCCTGGTTCTTCTGAGTATACCTCCATTTTCAGCTGTGGAGGACTTTGTTTTACTTTAGATTTCATTTCTCTAAGTTTAGATGCTTTGAGTGTATACTTCTTTTTCCTACCTGGTTTTAGCCTCATGTCTGGGAATTTGTATCCCCACATTCCAGACTCTGAGTCAGAATCACTATAGTAAGGTTCATAATCTGAAGAAATATAATCTGTCTCATAATCATCAGAATTATATTCAATGCTATTCTGCTGCTCAATCCCTTTGCTTGATTCTTCTCTTGCAAGTGATTTCTCATTCCTTTTCCCATTTCTACCCTCTTTAAGTCTTAACTTTGGTTCAAACATATATGGTCTGCTTCCAAGGACATAGTCGTCCTCAACATCACTGAAGTATGTTTCATAATCTGATGAATTGTATTCATTCCTCTCTAGCTTTGGTGTTCCATTACTTACAGCCTCATTCTCTTTTTTGATTTTTGTTTCCTTCCTTTGTGCACCTTTGACAATTTTGGATTCTTTTAATTTATATTTCTTTGTCCTTCCTTCTTTTAGTCGTAAGCATGGTTCAAATCTATATCCCATAAGTTCAGGATTCATACAGTCGCTGTCAATGTCTTCATCACTGTAATCTGTCTCATAATCGGAGGAATTGTATTCAAAGGCTTCTTCTTTCATTGATTTCTTGTGTTTCACAGAATCTGGGTGTGATAAGATTTTTCCACCACGTTTTAATATTTCTGGACTTGTTCTCTTTCCTTTCTTTGTTTTCTTATTTACCTTTCCACCTCTATCCTTTTTAAGTCTTGCCTTTGGTTCAAACCTATAGGGACTTCTACCATGTTTAAACTCCTGATTAATCTCCTCAATATTTATATCACTTTCTGAGGAATCGTCCAAATTACATTGTGCCATCAGGTCTTCAACAGGGGAGAGGCTAACATCATTACCATCTACTGCAAGTCTAAGGTTTGGGTGGAGATTTTTCACACAATCTGGTAAGTTCAGGCGTATCCTTCCTACAGAAACCTCTTCACCACTGAGTCGTAAATACATGTATGTTTGCCATTTGGATACTGTCTTCAGAATATATTCAATTTCCATGTTGTTTATACATGCTATATCAAAGATATTTGAATTCATTTTTAGTTTGAACAGTGTTAGAAATAACTCATCGATGCTCAGCAGTTCATTCTTTCCCTCTTTCTTTGGAAGAGGTGGGAAATTAGTATTGATAAACTCTTCAAAGTTAAACTCACTAATAGGTCTACCATTAATGAGGTCCTTCTTCTTGTACAGTTTCCCATCAATAAGCTCCTCATCTGAGTCAACACGTAAGATTTTACGACCACGGTGTGGTTTTCGATGAATACCTTTGGCAGCATCTTCCTGTCTTTTCTTTTCAGCAGCTTCCCTTTTTCTTCTCTGGCATTCAGCAATGCTCTTATTTATTTTTTCTTGTCTTAGTCTCGCCTCTTCTTCCACCTTCCTCTTTTCCTCTTCATTCTTATCCAAAAGGTCTTGATTACTTTTATTTTCATATTTCTCTAACAATTTCTGCAGAAGTTTCACTTCAGTGGATGGTTCGGAAGGTTCTTTTCTGGACTGTTCAATCTCATCTTTATACTTTCTTTCAACTAGTTCAGTTGATAAGGCACACGCTTTCTCCCACTGGGCAATTCTCTCCTCATCTTGCCCAATTTGTAAGTATTCATACAATGCAACAAAGGCTATAATGTTGGGACAACCGGTTACTGCATGAAACATTTCTGAATCCTCAATTCTGTCAGCAAATATTGACATCATGTTTGCTTCACAATATTGCTTCATATGGTTTATGAGATGCATCTTATAATGAAGCTCTGTATAGAACTTGGCAATATTTTCTAATCTGAATTTTGATTCTTCAAAGTACAATTGAAAAATATCCCACAGTTCTTTCAGTTCTGTTTCTTTGTTATTGAAATCAAATAACATTTCACCATAATGCTGTTGAAGAATATATTTACACTGACATTCCTTTGGTTTCTTGTCATCTTCACACTCGGGACCTTTGGTCCATAGATACCTGGAAGGAACAGCAGAGTTCTTCAATTTTGTCATCTCTTTGTCTTCAAAGTCTCCAGTTTTGAAGTGAATTGAACACACATAAAGATCTTCCAAGCTAGACTTACTGGCCTTTGGACTTTGCAAATGAACTAACCATGTATGCCTTTGAATGGTGTCTTTAGGAATCTTGTGAAATGTAACTTTATTCGACCTCTCAGAATCAAAATTGAAAATTGTTGAATTGGCTCGACATTGCATGACACAACATTTTCTACTCCACCTGGCAATGTCATCATCTGTGAAGCCAATGGATGATCTCCATTTCTTCCTTGCTGGTGAATGGTCTTGTATGCCATCATCATCACCCTTTTGTTTTTCTGTCATATCTTCAGCTGTGTGCATAGTTTGGCTTACCTCTGATACCTCCATATGTTCATCCTCAGATTCTTGAATTAAACCTTTATTGCTGTGATCAGGATTGTTGTCATTTTTATTCTGAGTTAGAACACTTTCAACAGAATCAGATACCTTTTGTTCAACTGTTTTATCACACTCTGTTGTTAGGTTACCATTTTTGTTTTGGATATTACCAACTTCTACTTCAATTTCACCTGTTTCATAATTCAAAATGTCCCTTGGCATTTCCTCATCACATTCCTTCTCTGTAATGTTTGTTGATTTGTTGATTTGATTCGCAGATAAAGGAATACAAACTGGTTGTGTTTGAATACTTTTTGATACCCTCATGGGTGGAAAAATGCAACTTTCAACATGACAAATTTCTTGCATCACTGACTCAATAGACCCTTCTGTTTGTTGGGCATGTGAATCTAGCTCCAATAATGGATCACCAGAGTCTAATTCCTGATCATTTGATTCCCCTCTTTGTGTGACAGGATTTTGATTTCTTAAAGCTGGTTGCTGAGATACCTTTCGAGTTGTTTCATGCATCAACTGAGGTGTTTTGAATGCAAGTTTTGTAGATTGACTGCTTAATGTTGAATCAAGATGAGGGTTGTCTTCATGCATGCGGTGCATAGATTTCAATGACAATACTTGATCCTGTTTTTCTGGTACTGAAGAACCAATCAGTTCTCTTGCTTGCTTGTCCATACATTTTGGTTTGTTGCTGGCATTGGAAAGGGAAATCCTGTTCTGATTAGTGTTCATCTCAGGTATCCGTTTAGCTTGTTTTTCATTCATATCTACAGGAATTGCTTGTTTTTTACTCCTATCTACAGGCATAGCCTGTTTCTTATTGGTAAATATAAGCACGGGTAGTTTCTTATTCATATCTACAGGCATGGGTTGCTTCTTATTCACATCTACAGATATGGGTTGTTTCTTAATCATACTTGAAGACTCATCTTGTTTCTTAGACACATCTACAGACATAGGTTGTTTCTTAGATACATCTACAGACATAGGTTGTTTCATATTCATATCTACAGGCACAGGTTGCTTCTTATTCACATCTACAGATATGGGTTGTTTCTTATTCATACTTGAAGGCTCATCTTGTTTCTTATTCATATCTACAGGTATAGCCTGTACAGACATTGGTTGTTTCTTGTTCATAACTACAGGCATGGGTTGTTTCTTATTCATATCTATGGGCACACATTGTTTCTTATTCATATCTACTCGCGTGGGTTGTTTCTTGTTCATAACTACAGGCATGGGTTGTTTCTTATTCATATCTACATGCATGGGTTGTTTCTTATTCATATCTACAGGCAAGGGTTGTTTCTTATTCATATCTACAGGCATGGGCTGCTTCTTATTCATATTTACAGGCATAGATTGTTGTTTATTTATATTTAAAGGTATAGCATGTTTCGCCATTTCGGCAGCAGCGAGAATAGCTCTCAGTTGGGCTTCACTGAGGCTAGGGGCAGTTTGCCCCTTTTGTAAGTCACATTTTACATGGATTGTCTGCCCAGTAGGACCCTTGATGAACAAATCAGTTGTCTTTGGAGTGCCATCCTCATGTTTGGCATCAGTTTTTCCAATTGTTGTGTTTATGGCTTGAGGAGCAGGTATTGAGACTGTTTTATTGAACTCAGCAGTAGGGAGAGTGTTTGTAGTTGGACGTTTGTTTAAAGGGACTGGTTCCCTGCTTGTGTCATTAGTGGGGACATGTGGCGGTTCTTTCTTTCCACCAATGGTTGATTTTGGTATTTCAGACTTCAATATAATTGCTTTGTTTTTCAACAGACTAAGCTGGGGAACAGTTTCAGAATTGTCTTTACCAGTGACTGGGACATCTGTTTTAGACTTGTCATTAACAGTGACCTCAGATTCTTTGTTTGGATCAGTTGATAGTTTTAACATTTTAGCTGGTGGTGGCTGCTCACTAATATCACTATTATCCACTGTGCTATTTTGCTGCTGTTTTACCATTGTTGGATCTAAAGGTCTTTGGGGTGGCCCTGTAGAGATATTCGATGTCTGGTTCATCCCAGGAGGGCAGACCAAGGCAGTATTCTTCTTAGCTTGAGGAGGATTACTATTCCAGTTATTTACTATTGGGATCAGAATAACTGATTTACCAGAGGCTTTTGCCTGGTCTACCATTTGCTTTATCCCAATGAGATTTTGAGCTAGAAGTGTTTGTATTGCCAGCTGCTCCAAGTCTTGTTTCACTGTTCTGGTACTGTCTTGTTTTTTCTTTTTCAAGTTTGGTTTAGAGTGTTGCACAGTACTAACACTGTCTTGTTTTTGCTTTTTCAAGTTTGGTTTGGAGTGTTGCACTGTACTAATACTGTCTTGTTTTTGCTTTTTCAAGTTTGGTTTGGAGTGTTGCACTGTACTGATACTGTCTTGTTTTTGCTTTTTCAAATTTGGTTTGGAGTGTTGCACTGTATTAACACTGTCTTGTTTTTGCTTTTTCAAATTTGGTTTGGAGTGTTGCACTGTACTAACACTGTCTTGTTTTTGCTTTTTCAAGTTTGGTTTGGAGTGTTGCTCTGTACTAACACTGTCTTGTTTTTTCTGTATCATGTTTGGGGGAAGTGGAGTGATACCAGGTTGCTTCAAAGGTACATGGTTTGATTTGTCTGGTTCTTTTCCAATTTCCATAGGCGTTCTTGATAAATGACAGAATCCCAGACATTCCGAAATATTTTCAGATTCCAGATTTTGCATTCCACGTATTAGTTTTTCTAAGTGTTTCTTTTTCTCTGTGATTTCAGCCCATTGCTTGGCACCCTCATCAGTGTTCATCACCCTTGTGTAAACATATGTGTCAGAAAAGGGGAGGGGTTCAATATCAGGAGGGAGAGGAGCTTTGTAATTACCATATTTCTTATATAGCATTACACTATAGCTATCTCCATTGGGTAATGTCTTCTGTTCTTCAGTTAAATTAACACATTTCTTGACCCCAGAAAAACCAAATGGAATGAGTTTTTTGTCAAAACGTTTGATTTTTTCCACTGGCGCCAAAAGAGGCTCATCGGCCTTAAACCAGCTTAATCCTTGCCTTGGCATTATGATACTTTATACGTACATCAATTTAATTTCACCAACATAACAAATGCACCTAGAATATACCTCCTAACTATGAGTTCACATAGGACATTAATGAATCCATTAATCGCTCCATGTGAAAACATAAACTTTGAGGAGTCGTGTTTCGATCAACTGTATATAAGTTTATGGTTTATCTAATCAGATTTGTGAATGAAGTGTCAATGTCTATTTGTTGCTTTCATAAACCTCTGGGAGAAATTGTGACTGCTACTCACATTCCTAGAGACAGCAAAATTGTTGATGTTTCGGCAGATGAACTTTTGGTGTATTTCCTGCAATATCGAATTTTATTTAATAATAACAAACTCATAACAGTGATTGTTATATAGGCAAAATGTTCATGCAAAAACAATACAACAATACAAGTATTAACTGATATGTAGCTTATGGCACTCATGGTTCTTAGCTTAATAGACTAGATATTATGTTCAAGTGTACATTGTAGATGCAATTAAATGTTTTTATCCCATCGAACAAAGTTCGGAGGGATATAGGGAATGCCTCCGTTCGTCCATCCGTCTGTCCGTCCATCTGTTCCGGGCAATAACTCAAATACCGTTGGCCCGTTTTTTATCATATTCTGAACACATATACCATATGGGGGAAGAAGTTCTGCTCAAAAGCTGATTTTCAAAATGGCCATTTTAGTGCCGATTTTACAGTAATTTAGGTGCAATATGTAAAACTGTAATAGCAATATGTTTTAAATGTAAAAAATTATATAGGATATTAATAAAGCTAGAAATGTAGATATTAAAGAAGCACATGGCAGCCATCTTGAAAAATGGCGGCATTTACTCATTATTTTACGATTTTTGCTGTAACTCGAAAAGTAGTAGAGCGATTCTGTTCATATTTGGTATGTGAATACTATAAACATGGCACACTGTCTAATGACATTTTTGGTAGAAGGTGGCCATTTTGAAAAATGGCCACCATTTTAACGTATTTTACTATAACTCGAAAAGCAGTGGAGCAATTTTGCTCATATTTGGTATGTGAATACTATAAGCATGGCACACTGTCTAATGACACTTTTGCTATATATATTTTGTTTGTAAAAATGCCAGCCATGTCTGTTCGATTGGATTTGTTACGCTTTAGCGTTGCTTTTGTCTAGTTTCCCTTATTTCTTCAATGAGAATTGAGTGGTGGGAACATAGTTAAGTGACAGGGTCATAATTGAGTAGTGTGCTCTAAATTGAGTAATGGGGACATGAGTGGTTTGGATGTAATTTTTGTTTTAACCGAGTGGTAGGAACATAGTTGATCGATTGCAACAAAAACGAGTGGATGGAACAGAAATAATGGCGTGGTATATGATTGAGTGGTGTGCCTCAAACTGAATGGTGAAAACATAAATGAGGCAGAGTTTGGTACATACAAAGTAAAGCTTGCAAGTCCTACTTAGTTATTTTCTCTCACCTTAATTTGCAGTTGTTTTTCCATTCTTCACAAAATAGATGTGGCAAAGAAAATGTTACAAAATGTGTCGCTCATCTCAATGTAACAAAGGCGCATCTGTGAACTATCAATTCATTGTATTATCATTGTGCAGCTGATCTATTCATTCCTGAAAATATTACAAAATAAACAAATCTAAAATAATCTACCGGTATTTACAGTAAGAGGAGGGAAAACCCCATGATTCAATTGATGACATATGATTTCCTCCTTCTCGCACCTCCTTTCCTGGAAGTACTTACCCTCCATCTTGGTTTTCAAAGTTTTCATATTGACCTAGTTTTAAACCAATCAACGATCCACTCGCTAAACCAATCAGCGACGATGTCATCTCAATACAGATTTACATTATATGCGTATGTCATCTTTGAACCCTGGGGTTTCTCCCCCTCTTATTTACAGTGTAAAATCCATAAATAAGAATGGCATAGTTTAACCCTTATCCTCCCAGAAGCGCTTTAAAGTGTGGTCAGCTACAACCCTCTATATAGTTTCAGAGACAGAGTTATTTCATGATTTCATGATTCCATGATTCTGTCATGTCAGCACTACCATTTCTAAAGCTGTTTATATGACCACAATATTGATAAATTGATAGAAAAATGGCGGTTCAGAGATTGGTCTTCTTGATCAATTTAAAATTAAAAAAATTTATAATTATTTCAACCTTGATTTTAAGCTTTCGGAAAGGGGCAAAATTGCACTTTTCCGCCATTTAAATCGGGAGGATAAAGGTTAAAAAACCTAAATAAAATAGTGAAAAATGAATCCATAATTTGAAAACGCATATTCAGATTGATCATTCTTTTTACTTTGTACTTACAAACTAATCAATCATTAGTTTGCAGACTTGACAAAGGATTGGCATCGATATGGCAAACCGAATTCAACATTGTTTTTCTTTTATACCTATCTGTTGAAAACAATCTGTAAAAAACACAGTCCTTAATGGTCACTGATTGACAACATTTTAATGCGGAAATTATTTAATATATAAATTTTATATAACTGTTTTTGTTAACTTTTAACATTTTTAGTGCAATTTTTTTGTTATTTTCTACCAATTATTGAGAACGAAATGAAACATCTATCCCAACTTCATTGGAACAAAATGACATATACACAAACTTTCCTTTTTACAATTACAATATTGCGAGACCTAAACAGGTTGTGTATATGTGGATCGTTTTGTTCCAATGAGGTTGGGATAGATGTTTCACTTCATTTCGAACATATGATACCAAGAAACAAAACAAAAAAAAAAGATGTGTTTTCTAAAACAAAATTGAGAAAAGTTTATATTTTTTTCAAATTAAATTGTTATCATTCAAAAGATGATCATTAAATTGACGATGTGTAAAATTTTCAGAATTTTTTGGTGACTCAGTTCAAGAGAAACAAGCACCTGAGATTTTGATAATAGTCTTGCAACTTCCTGAAAATCAATTTGCCAATTTTGGTCCCAATTGTGAATTCTAGAAGTTTGCACCCACTTAAGAAAACATCCTGTTGAGATCACTGATACTAGAAGCCAAAAATTGATATCATAAAAAAGCAGATAATTACATAGTGTACTTACCTGCGTTGAAAGTCATTTGAAAGCATCCAAGAATATCAAATTCTGACACTTCTACAGATTAAAGCTATCACATATAGGTACACAACACGGCTGTGCTGATCATCGGAAGATGAATGTCACTAGGTGAAACAGGTATCTTCTCTGGAATTCTAATGACTTGGGTTCATCTGAAAGCAAAATAACATGAGAGATACAATCTTAAGTGCTGAACATGTCACATGTTTGATGTACTCAGGTCACTGTAAGTTATTTGTTCTTCATGCTGTACAATCTTAGTAAGTGGATATATTTAATTATTTGACTTTGATTTCAAACTTGGAGGCTTTAGCAACTTCAATATTTGAAGGAGATTGGTTTGTAAAAAAACTGATGTCTTGTCACTATTTTCCTCATACCACATAATAATCATTGAAATGCATGAGATATAATATTAAACAGTGCAATGATTTAATTTCACATTAAGGGTTTTATGGGTAACAAGTGATGTTCAACGAACATGTCCCTGCTACAGATTAACAGGTAAAAGTGATTTTTACCCCTTGTTGAATGCTATTTTATTTTATGAAAGTGTATGAAGTATAATATTTGATTCCTTTGTCATTTTAGGGATTTACAGGCAATACCTGTTAAGGAATACAGTCAGGTCATTGACAACTTGTGCAGGTTTGTAATGATCAATGATGGCCACACCTGGAGTATCTTTGTTCAAAGTGCTGTAACTGTCGGCATTAGTTTTCCTAGACTCAGGCATAAGCAATTAAAGGCAGAATCAGATCTATAGGGGGTGACAAAATTTCAAGCAATGTGTACAATTGACCTATTAATCTATTCCTTACAATGTCAAATACAATATCTCCCAAAAGATTCACGATATGTTATAAATTGGTAAAGTTATGAATGATTCAAAGTACAAAAATGGATGAAAAATGTTTAAATTCTTCCAAATAATAATGGTAACCATTCTTATAGAACAATAATACATTATTGTAAAAATCTTTAGTTTTCCTAGAATAAATTATGCACTTTTGTGATTTTTAGAAAATAGACATGACAAGGAATGACATGAACCAAAGATATTCTAAAATTTAGACAATTTTCTGTTAAGCCTGCTTGCTATATCTGATTCTCTCTTTAATTTTGATATTATTTTGACAGACGATTTTGTCTTCACTGCTAAGTTTCCCATACTTCCCCCACAATGCAAAACATGAAAATCAAAAATGGATGAAAATTGGTGGAAATTTGAAGAGTCAGGTTAGATCGAATGGATGCCATTACAAAGCATTGTTTTGACTGATTCATCGCTCATAATATTGAAAAAGAATCTTCGTCACAGAGAAGAAAAAAAGTAATGAAACTGCCGGTATTGTTAGGATAACATTTGTGTGCCTACGTGTTCAGCCCCCTGATTGGTTGAGAAAAGTTAGGTTTGAAATGATTTATGACCTGAGTGAGTAGATTTGATGTAACCTAGTCTGATGGATGACATAGAACATACTGGTAAGTAAATACATCGTTACATCACATCATTTCGTTATTTTAACCTTATGAACCAATTCCCGGAACATTCGCAAATTGGCTTTCCGTTTTTTACCACAACCGATTTGAATTAGCCAATAAACATGATAGGGGTGTGAGAAATGACATGCCTTTCGGAAAATTTTGGGGAATATTTTCACTTCGTTTACATTTCTTGTATAACTGTACTTATTGTTGATCGGACGGAAAGATAAGCTGATGTAGTTACACTGGAGTTCGTTTACTACCATTTGGAAGGCGAGGGTCCCATTCATCAGGTAACACTTATATGTCAAAGTTAAGTTCTTGTTTTTTTAACACTTACAAGGAGTAGGTCTGAAAAACCTACCCCTCTACACCATTATCTAATGAAGTCTTCATTAGATAATGGTGTTACCCCTCTACACAATGGAGTTACACTGGAGTTCGTTTACTACCATTTGGAAGGCGAGGGTCCCATTCATCAGGTAACACTTATATGTCAAAGTTAAGTTCTTGTTTTTTTAACACTTACAAGGAGTAGGTCTGAGAAAACCTACCCCTCTACACCATTATCTAATGAAGTCTTCATTAGATAATGGTGTTACCCCTCTACACCATTATCTAATGAAGTCTTCATTAGATAATGGTGTAGAGGGGTAGGTTTTCTCAGAAAACCTACCCCTCTACACCATTATGTAATGAAGTCTTCATTAGATAATGGTGTAGAGGGGTTATCCTGTTCCCGGACTATAGTCCTGTACGGAGCCAATACATTTGCCTGTACGATTACAACTTGGGAGAATTATCTACGCCCCTTCCACTTAAGAAACCTACCTCAATGCATTCTAGAACTCAAAATGTAACTTCTAATATATTGGAACCGCCGATTGTCTGGGTTAGTAGGCAGAACGAGGTCTTTTTGTTTCTTATGGCTCTTTTGGTTCGAAGTTCGATTAAGATGGCGGTTATAACGGAATTTCCCGAACTCTTCCGTAATAGCACGAACTTGGTTTTTCGTTACTTCACTTCCATGTAAAATGGATTTGTTTCCGGTAAGAAACGTTGTTTAACCATTCGGTATACAGTTAAGAGCATAGGATGTCGACATGGCAGTAAATATTGAAAATATTGTATGAAATTTTCGAAATTCCCTCTTACCCGAAACAAATCCATTTTACACGGAAGTGACGTAACGAAAAACCAAGTTCGTGCTATTACGGAAGAGTTCGGGAAATTCCGTTATAACCGCCATCTTAATCGAACTTCGACCAAAAGAGCCATAAGAAACAAAAAGACCTCGTTCTGCCAACTAACCCAGACAATCGGCGGTTCCAATATATTAGAAGTTACATTTTGAGTTGTAGAATGCATTGAGGTAGGTTTCTTAAGTGGAAGGGGCGTAGATAATTCTCCCAAGTTGTAATCGTACAGGCAAATGTATGGGCTCCGTACAGGACTATAGTCCTGGAACGGGATAATAGAGGGGTACATGTAGGTTTTCTCAGACCTACTCCTTGTAAGTGTTAAAAAGAAGACCAAACAAAGCCTTGGATGTCGTGCCGTTTCTCGTTTCGTTGGGTACACAACTAAGTCCCGGGTATTAAATAAGCCCTTGTATGAACTGGTTCCCAGAATAAAAAATAAAGATTTCCGAAAAAAATTGAACCTCGCGACAATCGGAGCCTTTTCTAAAGCCTTTTCATATTCTAAGCATGGAACCATGATGTATCGAATGAACAACATTTTTGCTTTTTAATTCTATAGATATAAGCTTACCCTTCCCCTTGGAGCCCTCCACATTCGTAAAAAACGAAAACTTAGGTTTTAAAATGTGTTCTCAAATTTTATTCTCTCCTTTTTGAAGAGTTGAGACACGCTAAATTTGCGAACGTCAAACTCCGTTCAA